TTAGTAGTTGAAATAAGGCTTTTAAATCATGAAGCAATCGAGAAACAGCAGAGCATGGTGTATCAGTGGATACCAGGTCATTGCGGTATATATGGCAATGACCACGTAGATGAGGCCGCTAGATCTGCACACGACGGTACCCAATACACAGACATCCTGTTCTGAAGAACCGACGCAGCTACAAGACTTTGTTCGCTTGCGCGTGACCTCACACTGGTACAGTGAAACTCAACAGTCTTCACAAACGCGCGCTTGCATAACTTGGATCAAACGCGCGCCTGCATAACTTGGATCCTGATCTGCATCTTCGTCTTCCCCAGGGATATATCGAGCTGAGGAGACTCTTCTATGCCGCCTGTGGCGTGGAGTGGCCTTCATGAACGCATACTCTTATCTCATTGGAATGGCCAGCTCTTCTACATGCACTTACTGCAGCTACGAAGAAACTGTCGCGCACATTCTGTGTGAGTGCACCCATTTCAACGCGCAAAGACAACAACTCACTGCAGCTCTGGATAGACTGGAAGATCGGCCTTTGTCGGAACAAAGGATTCTGGGTCATTGGCCGACCCCATCCTCAGCCCAGAAGGCTTTGAAAGCTTTGCTGCACTTTTTGCGGACAATTGGCCTCAGAGACAGACTCTAGTGTCTTATTTTTGTCATGCAAATTTCAATAATTGTTCAATCAACCTGACCCTTTATACACATCTCTCAACTGGCAGAAACTATCCAAGGAAGCACTAAGTGTACTCTCATATAAAAAGTCAGATTCCAACGCTGCATACCATATGGACTTGTAATGATGTTCAAACATTCTATTCACAAGAGGAATGTTATTGTGTGGGTTGAACTAAATGAAATTGCACAATCAACTGGGCTATCCGATATTCCTTAGCCTGTTTGGCAATGTGCGTACAGAAAGTGTTTTTTGTCATTGCCTGTAAATAATAAATTAATAAATTGTAAAATCTCAATCACAGCACATGAGCTTCAATTATATCTTCGAAACATGCGAGAACAGTAGATGGAAATCTCTTACGTGCTCCCTTGTTCGCTTGCCTTTGTATCTTGTGATGACGAGTGTGAAAATTTATGGCTCAAATGGCAGATTACAATCCTAACACTGGTGATGGTTATTGTAATTGTAAGTCTTCACATTCCAATTACTATGTGATGTGTCAAGTTCTTCTATACCACCTATTATGTAATGACAAGTACATATGTGCAATCTGAAGTCTGTAATAAATTTGGATCGTAGAAAAGATTTCTCATTGCAGAATCATGTAGGATATTTTTTAGGCTTGCCCTAAACAGTCTTCTTGTAAAAAGGAAATGCACGACAGTGCTGTTGTAACAAGGTTAAGGAATGGCAAAAACGGCTTTATATTAACGGCTGTCTTAAAAGTTTTAGCACCTGGAAGAGCCACTTAGGAGTATTTAGTTTACCACAATCATCCACTCTTTATTGAGAGTGTATGTAAAACTAATATTTTTGTTTCAATAATCACACTAACAAGAGTGAAATCTACAAAAGTGTGATAGGGAAACGGGATCTGTGTTTGAATTGCAAACCAGAGGCAGTGACTGTAGCAAGAATGATGGGATGGCAGACCCAGCATATTTCTTGGAATCTACTTTAAACAAGAGAGGAAATGATTATGTAAGCCCAAAGCAGACACAGCAAATTATATGACTACATGGTGAGCTGGCTTGGGAACTTCTACCTGTTTTCTTTTTTTTTGTTTTTAAGATTTTCTGAGAGTTTTAGGCTATGTTCTCTCTTCTCTAGGTAGCAGTAGTACATTTGATATTTACAAAAAGGCACAAGTAATTTGTCGTCTTTTCTCTTTTGTGCCCTTTAATTGAATCAATGATTTAACCATGTTATCGGCTGTAGATAGAACTTTGTTACGTAAAGGTTTTTGTTGTTGAAAATGCAAGGGGGAGTTTTTCCTCCATCATCGCACAGTTTTAATTGTGATACAATGAGGGATTACACGCACTTTGCAATTTCAGATTTATTCTGCTGCACTTCATGTGCCTTTAAGAAGAATGCATATAGTCGAATCTCAAAGGGTGGTATGAAGCCACGGTCTTACTAAGCTTGACGGTAAACATCTCCCTGAAACACCTCTGTGTCTGACATTTACACCTAATCTATTCCAATACTTCAAGTGTAACATGCGCTGGTGGACCCATATGAACATAGTACTAGAATCAGCAGCAAGCCTTGTTATGATAACTGGCATGTCTTTTTGATAAAGTCTACTGTGCTTCCACCTCAAAATGCATGCCACATTTCAACTATAGACCATTTTTTTATGGTAAAAGAATTTTTACCAACGCGAGGAAATGGACCGATGAAGGGAGTTTGAAAATCTTATATTTGAAACTTGCACAATTTCACTATGAGCATGCACACCTTCGGTAAATAAAATTTGTCCAACAAAATATTCAGGGATGAGAAATAACTTTGAAAATGAACACTATATCTGAACAAAACATACAACCTAAATGCGGTTAACATGGGGGCTATGGTAGCAATCAGTCACATACAGCCATTACATTGTTATCATTATTTTCTTGGGGTCTTTGTTCATGGGATACATCATTTAAAGGGGTAAATGAATGCAGCAAGTACTGGGAAGACTATTTGACAAAGTGATTGTAGATTTTATTTCTGTAGCACAGATTTACATTTTTCAGATGGCTTTCCGTTGGTAGTCGGGAGGTGCTATTGTGTAGTCATTCAGGCTGAACAGCTGCGAGTTCCTAGCCATGTACCTAGAACATAAACAAACAATATGTTTTTTTTGCATACATAGAGTAGATGTTGAAAATGAAGGCAGGCAGTGCTCCCACGGTGAAGTACTACTTTAGTGAACAGTATAAAGTAACTCACGGTTTTTTCTGTCAATATAAAGTAACGCACAAAATACTTTCACACACAACTGTGTCATGCAACCATTACACACACAGACATTTGATAACCTCCTTAGACCAGTTTTTTTATAGCGAGAGGCAATGCTAAGCAAGAGACAATGCCAAGCTAAATGTGAGGAACCATAATGATTTAAGAGATGCACACGTTTTCAACCTGCACCTGCACTATAGATCTCGAAGCAAAGTAACTGTTGAAATTAACTAAACACATTCACGTAGCGATGTATGCTTCACTATTTCAAGGCATTATATGTATACAGTGGTGACCCAATAGCACATTTGCATCAATTCTATATTCCTGCGCCTTGCTGCGCACACTCGAGTACTAACTGTGCCAAACTTCACTAGTTCACCTGTTTACACCGCATCAGATCGTTTAAGGCCAAAATTATTCTTGGTCGTCGCAACAAACCCATTAGAGCTTTTCACAATGCCGCCAATTCGCTTTGCTTGCTCCTAACCGAAGTACCTGTGCTGCTGTGGGCGTCTCCGTAGTTGAAAGTTTAGCATGCGGTTGATAACCTCTCGTATTGTTATAAAACTGGCGATAACACGTAGAAAAGTGACTTTTTTTTTCGTTCGCAACTGATGTGGGGTACCATAACGTATCCACCACCGCCAATGGGCAACAGGTATCGGCACTGTGTGCTATCAACAGCCTATTTACGCAAATTAGAATTCGGCATGAAAATCTTGTTTGATTTTGACAAAGAAAAAAAAATTGAGGCCGCTATGTCGTGCTGAGCAACGTTTTTCGGTATGCCTAATGTAAGTTAAGCATAAATATCCACGTAGGTGCGTCTGGCACGATGTGGTACAGCTGCCGCTTTCTTATGTCAGAGCGCTTGTTGCACGTCTTAATTGCAAAACCGATGAAATGCCACGGTTAGCCAGTGCACATTAAAAGTAACTGAGCCGCGAAGTTAGCCACCTATAAAAAACAAGTGCTCTTATGCATCCTTAACGCTGTTTGAACAATAAAGTGTATGTCGTCAGTCGACAAAAAAAAGGCAGTTACACTGCAAGGGCTGGCTCGTTTGATATCCTATGCAACCACACTCGTCGCCCCAGCTTACGCTGGGGGATCTTGTCAATTTGGACTTTATAAGCTACATGACGGCTGCTGCAAAACCTGTTGAGACTCTCTGTATATTGCTGTCACAATAAAAGGTCAAATAAGTTTCCCAGCTTGTAAATGTTTCCCAGTGATTCCCTCACACTTGACAACTGCGCTTGCAAGCGGGCTCAGCTTGGCCGCCGTTTGTACGCGAATCCGACGTTGATTTCCTTCTCCCCGCTCTCTCCAAATAAAAGAAAAAAATGGTAGCACTCCTCCTAGCTAACAAGTTTGTTGTCATTTCGCCTGTTCGCAGACACCATAGTTATTCCCCAACCATGTGAGTAGCATGGGCTCACACCCACCCATCGAACCTTGACAACATATTTAGGTGTAAAATTCGTGAACACGTGGCATTGCTAAAGCCAACATTTCAACAAACGGATGTCTCCTTCATGACTGCCTCGCAGAAATACACCCCCCCCCCCCCTTCATGTTTAGATGGATCTCTCACCCTGCCCCCTTCGTATAGGCTGTTTACATTGTGCCAGTTAATTTTTTAGAGTACTTTCTTTTGTTAATCTAGAAAACTGGAAGTGCTAGGGCTGAAGTTCTTTAAATTAAAAAGAAAATGTCACTCTGTGCTCACACCTCTAACAATTATTGAATAAGATGGAGCATCATTCATGAAAAGTAGTGGTGATTATTTGAAGAAGCTGTGCATTTTCAGTTTTTTCCGTTTTTTTTACCACTGTTCATTTTGAGGCCTCAATATCTCTGCAGCTAGGAGAGGTAAACAATAATGATTATTGCAATAGAAACTTGTATGTGTGTAATGCGAGTATGGGAGCAAAGCAATTTAGAACACAGCCTTTTTAATTAAATTACTCATCAAACTTGTAACACCATTCCAACTGCTTTTGAAAATGGATAGTTTATATTTTGCTTTGAAAAGACCAAGGCCCCCCCCCCCCAAAAAAACACAAACTCTGGTACTTTCAATCTATAGTCTTTAGTCTATGTTTGGCATATCTTGAATATCACTTATAATTAAGCAATTTTTTATCTATGGCTCATAAACAATAGGGGGTGACTTAAGTTACTTAGGAACAAGATGAGTGACAGGAAAACTATTTAAATATTTGACAGCAGAAAAAAGTGCATAATCCTGTGAAGTTGATTCAGATCACGAAGAAAAACAAAAAATGTTTTAGACCAGTCTGCCCCCTTAATGGCTCTCTATATGTCGCCTGTCTCGGTGCTTACATTGCGGGAGCATTTCAGTTGTACACTAATAAGAATAGTCACTGAAGATTATTTTTTTTGCACTGAATGATTACAATTACACCTTGTGTGCTCCAAACCTGCTACCGACACACATTTGCTCCACCAAATGTAAACTGGCTGGATCACCACCGTGATAAATATGACAAGAGAATGAAACTCACTTGAGAAATCGTGAATCTGATGTAGCAGAAGCTGGACACTCGTCTCGTCCAGCGGGGTAAGCCAACATGCTGCCAAGCCTAACGAAATATAGGATAAACTTCCTCCCTAGTTAATATTCGCAGGCAATAACCACTTCTACAATAAATGCAGAACCGAACTTTAATTTGTGAGAGTTGCGAGGAATGTCCAAACTTTTAAGCAAGTTTGTTGATCGTATACATATATATATGATCAAAAAAGTAGTCTGTGGGTCCGGTGCAAATATAGTTAAGAAATAATGGAGCACACTTACGAAAATTTCATAGTTGTTTTACTCTACGTTTCGCCGTGGCACGGCCGAAAAGGTAGAGTAAAACAACTATCAAAATTTTCGCAAGCATTTTTCTCTGCCAATTTTGACACACCAGGAAGTGGCAATTTTTTTGTAATGTCATTCTAACTGTCCGATTCTCGGTGCTGTTAACATGCAGAACCTGCAAAAAAAAATAGGGAACGGACTTTAGCGCTTCCTTATAATTTGCCGGGACCCATGTTAGAAGCTCTGTAATGAATTTATGAGCACCCTTATGAGGATTGCAAAACATGCGCCCCATGATTGTTACTTTTTGAAGAAGCTGTGCATTTTCAGTTTTTTTCATTTCTTTTTTACGACTTTTCAATTTTGAGGCCTCAATGTCTCTGCAGCTAGGAGAGGTACAACAATAATGATTATTGCAATAGAAACTTGTATGTGTGTAGAATGCGAGTATGGGAGCAGAATTTAGAGCACAAGCCTTTTTAATTAATTACTCATCAAAATTGTAACACAATCCCAACTGCTTTTGAAAATGGATAGTTCATTTTGCTTTGAAAAACACCAAGGCCCAAAAACAAAAACAACTCTTGCGTACTTTCAATCTATAGTCATTAGTCTATGTTGGCATATCTTAAATATCACTTATAATTAAGCACTTTTTTATCTATGGCCCTTTAACAATAGGGGGTGAACTTAAGTTATCTCAGGAACAAGATGAATGACAGGAAAACTACTTAAATATTTGAAATCAGCAGAAAAAAGTGCATAATCCTGTGCAGTTTGATCAAGATCACTGAATAAATAAACAAAAAATGTTTTAGACCAGTCTGCCCCCTTAATGGCTGCTCTATATGTCGCCTGTCTCGGGGCTTACATTGCGGGAACATTTGCAGTTTGTACACTAATAAGAATATTCACTGAAGATTATTTTTTTTTGCACTGAATGATTCTAAATTACACCTTGTTTGCTCCAAACCTGCTCCGACACACATTTCCTCCTACTCCAAATCGTAAACTGGCTGGATCACCACCGTGACCAATATGACAAGACAGAATGAAACTCACTTGAGAAAATCGTGAATATGATGTAGCAGAAGCTGGACACTCGTCTCGTCCAGCGGGGTATAAGCCAACATGCTGCCAAGCCTGAATGAAATATAGGATAAGCTTCCTCCATAAGTTAATATTCCTGCAGCCATAACCACTTGTACAATAAATACAGAACCTGAACTTTTAATTTGTGAGAGTTGCGAGGAATGTCCAAACTTTTAAGCAAGTTTGTGTGAGTGTATACATATATATATGATTCAAAAAAGAAGTTCTGTGGGTCCGCTGCAAATATAGTTAAGAAATAAAGGAGCACACTTACGAAAATTTCATAGTTGTTTACTCTACGTTACGGCCGTGGCACGGCCGAAAGGTAGAGTTAACAAATATCAAATTTTCGCAAGTGTGCTTGTTTATTTCTCAACTATATATATACATATTGTTGACAAGAAAATTTTCAATGGCACTGCCAACAACTGCACAAAAGAAAAAAAAAATGCACAAGTTCACACTTCCAGAGGAGTCACTTTTATCTGACATCCCTATGAGCTAGTATTAGGCCTGCTTTGAGAGATGGTGCCACAATGCCTGTAGACGCTTTTACCTGCATTGCAACACAGCTGCATACGTTAGGCAGTGTCCATGGTTTGTCCTACAAAGTGAAACAATGGTGCCCATGCAGAGCAGTGCATAGTGTGGCGTGTCGTAGTGAGGTGGGATGCGTCCTTGCGAACATGCAATACTACTATATGCATTTGAAGATTGTTACTTCTGCTATAGTTTCCAATGACTATGCTTTATGAGTAGTGATTTCATGATTTGTGTCTATATTGGAGAGCCAGCCACACTTTTATTACTACCTCAGACAACATGCGACTGTTGATGCACTGTTTGGCTGCTTTGTCGGCAAACAGCTCTATTGCAACAGTTATTCACATAAAAATGCAACTGCTCAGCTAGAAGCAATAAAGGTAACAATTACTTTCAGGCACAGACAACCGAAAAGTATTAATTGACTGACTTTATGCAATGAAGCAGTTCCAATTACGTGGCATCAAAATAATGAGCACATAGCAGGCTAACCTAAAATAAAAGTAAATTAGGACAAAATTGCATAAAGTTTCACACTATAATACCCAGAAGAGAATTTGATGCTAGTGTCCATGCAGGCTTTTGAGTGGCGCTTGCGCCACCATGGGAATGATAAAAAGTACAGGCTTCAGATGGATTTCGTTTGCAATGCAACGCTTGTTAAGATTTTCAAAACAAAAGGTTATTACATTATATTCACTTAAAACTTACTTAAACTAAAACGTATTGCAGAACATTAAGTATAGCCTGAAACATTTTAACCATCAGGGTATGCATTGCTCTGTAACTGCGCTCCGGATATGGCATCACCAAATAATGAATATTTTATTAATCTCAACACATTTGTTTTTCACTTCAAAGCAAGCATCATCTATTTATAAATAAAGATACTGCATTGGGCGAGAAACAGGTAACTTATTATCTGCTGCAATGAGAGATGCATTTGCATTGGTAATCTGCCTCCAACACATAAACAGAGGCAGAGGAGCGTGACGATGAGTCCATGTCAATTTGCAGCCGATTTGAATGACCTTCAACAAGATGCACTTATCAAAAAACATGAACTGTATGCAATTTACTGCACTGGCATGAGACGCTACATCTATGCACAGCAGTGAGTGCAAAAGACTTTAGTACAGCTGTTGAGTACAACTCGTAAAGCTGCAACGTCACAGCAAACCGAGAAACCTAGTAGTCTTCAGCCTGTTTCAACAACAAAAGCACCATTATTGAGTGCCTTGCACTGCACCCCGCTACGAAAAAAAAATAAAACAAACTGCAGAAAAAAACTGTAGACAGTTTGCTAGCTAATTGATTGATATGTGGGGTTTAACATCTCAAAACCACTATATATTTATGAGAGATGCCGTAGTGAAGGGCTTCGAAAATTTCGACCACCTCGGGTTCACCCAAATGCACCCAAATCTGAGCACACGGGCCTAAAACATTTCCGCCTCCATCGGAAATGTGTGCTCAGATTTGGGTGCACGTTAAAGAACCCCAGGTGGTCTAAATTTCCGGAGCCCTCCACAACGGCGTCTCTCATAATCATATAGTGGTTTTGGGACGTTAAACCTCACATATCAATCAATCCATCGGAAATGCACCTGCCGCAGCCGTCATTTGATCCCGCAACGTGCGGGTCAGCAGTCGAGTACCTTAGCCACTAGACCATTGCAGCGGGGCTTGCTAGCTAATTCAATCCAATTTGAAGCCTGTAAGCCTGCACTTCCGATTAATACCATGGTGGCTTAATAAGTGCAGCGCCAGTTTCAGCTCAAGGTTATTGTACGAAACTTTATGTGACCTCGAGTCTACTGCTCAGGCATTGCAGAGTAATGCCTCTCAAAAGGGCAACTCACCGAATAGCCTTAGCAGGTGAATGGCACCATATATTTGTGACATAGAAGTGTCCGGCCTTTCATTTAAAACCTGCGTGTACAATAGAACATTAACTCGGATCACAATCTACAATACCTACTTGGCACATGATTACGGAGCCCAAGCTAGCATCACTAAAGAAGTTTATGACATCCAATGTGACACAGTTAAACTTTTATTAAAAGCAATTAGCAACTCATTTAGCTGCTTTAGCGGCAGTGGTATATTGCTGCAGAGTACTAAATGGTTGCAGGTTCAATACCCAACCAGTGTGAACAGGTACTTCCCGAGGGGGCGGAATGCAAAATAAATGCATTTGTGAATCTCTTCGCTACATACAGAGCTTTAGTGCAGCTTTGGGAAGTTTAACAGCCAAATGGAATCAGCTTCCTGCAGTTACTACAGTTTAAACTGCTTGCTGTATGATGCAAAAACCATTACAAATATGAGTATAAGTGAACAAAAGTCACACAATTTGCACAGAAAAAAAATTGGGGCACTTTTTTTTCAAATCTAACATACACAGTGAAATATGAAAGTTGTGGAATAACGGCAATATTTTGTGTGCAAGAGCACATGCTAAATGGCATTTGTGATCCCTGCCTTCCTGTATATGTTAATGTACTTAATCTTTTTTCGCTTGGTAGTGTTTAAGGTATGCACATGCAAATGCATACTCACACGTACTGAAGACGTCTGATATAAGCATTCAGTTTTCTTTAAAAATATGTGCACCGGTGCAGGCCATTCCTAAAAGGATGGAAATCCTGCAGACTCAATGGGGTCATAGCGTGGTTGCCCACCAATTGTGTTCTTCAGTGAAGTACAGAAATAGAAAATCTATTGTGCCTATACGTGTATGAAAAATGGCCTGTAGAAATATACTTCATTGCAAAATGAGCCATTGAAGTCACTGGCTATAAACCCAGCCCACCATCGGCGACCACCATTTTGCCATAGCGTGAGTGATGTCAAGTGACACATGGAGGGTAGCTATCGTGTTCTACCCAAGTTTCAGCAGCTGCAAACCGTTCAATTTTTAATGCCAAAATGAGATAGCTCTAATATTGCCACTGCATGCACAGCTGACCATGAAGCAATATCATTGGCGAAATACAGACGTTTAAAAAAGAAGTGGCTTGTTACGTCATGGCTCGCAAAAACACCACTATTGTCATACTCCTGGGCCACTCGCATGTTTATAAAAATGCTCATTATAAATTAGGCTCTTGACCTACTGCACTGAAATTTCGCCAGCTTGTTTGTGAACACCCAAGTATTGACCTATATGACACAGATTATGAGCGAAAATTCGGTGTCAGGGCCGCTTTAACTAAAGTCAAATCCCCCTACAACGAAATTGATAGGACGTGTGAAAAAATCTGTAGTCGCGGAATTTCGTTGTAGCAAAATTCATCTACAAACCACAAAATTTGGTAAGATCTGACGATGACTCGTCCTTTGGTCCCTTCAAGCGCACGCATTGAACTCTTGCCAACTCAGACGTGCCTGGCCGAGCACTAAGTGAACGTATTTTCTCGCGTATACCCTAATAAAAAAAAATAAAAATTTTGAGCTGAAGTTGGGGTGCGAATTTCAGAGAATTTGAGCACGCAAGTGGGCTTCACAGCACGGCTCACGGCAATGTAATGAAGGCAGCCTAGCGTCAATACGCGAGTATTTTTTTCTTCCTCCCGTGGTTTGCGGCCGGGGATGCCAGTTATATGCAGCGGTAGGTTGTACAGAAGAAAATATGATATTCAGACGAGGCGTGCCGAGTGCACATCGCTGCGAACGAGCATGCCAAAGCTTAGCTAGAGACCAACTGATAACTGCAATTAACTGTGATGAAGCTGCACACTACCGTGGCCATAAGTGAACAACAGGAAAGCCACAATGCTTCGTGTTGTCTAATGGCTTTATTGCCTTTAATCTACGGCTCTTTAAACTGCGCACCTTCAGGTCATATTCGTTATCTATCAAGAAGACGATAGCAACCAACCATGCACGGTTTCCTGCGCAGCGGTTCTGGCAAACAATACTAGCTTCGTTTTCAATCTGTGCGCACGTGATTTAAGAACTGCATCATTGCTATCTTTGTTCGCATCGTTACAGAAAGAAATATTGGGTTGAGTCGGTGCGTGTTGACTGCCCGCGTACTTTTGTGAAACGGCCATGATCGTGTTCGACACCACAGCATTTGTGTTTACAGCAATTGCAGCAGAATGCAATCACGCTGGGACTAAGTGCGCGCTGCTCGCGTGTGCGCCTTCATGCGGTGTGGTTGTTATTCCCGATCGCAAGGCTAGTGATGAAGAGCATAGTTTAGTTTTGAGCATGACGTCAAAATATATGGCGGGGTTTCTTGGAGATCGCGATTATGCCGCAGCCCATACGTACTTGCATCAGATCTACCGGCAGCATCATGGTGGGTGGGCGAGCTGTCGCAGAGCATCTCAATGACGATAAATTTAGCAGGATGTGCGTGTGGTGGCAAAAAGTGCGATGGGAAAAGAGGCTTTCGTGGGAAAGGCAGGCTCACAGGTGAGCTGATCACCAGGCTGAGCATATAATGGCCGGGCTCTGAAATCGCATGAAGGTGACGTGGGCGAGATGCAAAAGGCTGTGATGGCCACATACCGCCACGTCACCTCCACTGATGAATGCTCGGACCACAGTCTGTGCCCAGCTGGTGAAACTCATGGTGTCGGCACAATACCGCAAAAGCAAAGGGTGAGCCCGACCCCAGGCATGCCTACAATCTACCGAAAGACGTGGCAGAGGCATTACTACCGGTTTTATACCCAGCTTTCGGAAAGAGCCTGCTTCAGAGGTGCGAACGCGGCAAAACGCAGAACCTCCAACGAGAGCCTACATTCGGTAATCTGGAGTTTGGCCCCAAGGAGCACCATGCGTCCCTGTTCGCTGTTGAAGCAGCTGTTGCAGAAGCAGTGCTGCGCTTCAACCCGGGCAATTTGAATTCTGCAACGGCAATCTTAGGTGAAATGGACATGAATGCGACAAGTACTGTGCCAGGAGAGCGAGAGGAAGAGAAGAGACCACCGTCGCAGCATTGTCTCCAACAAGAAAAAGAACAGCCTCATTGGAACTCCGGAGCTAGTGAAGAGGAGGCATGAGCACAGAATGCATTCAGACTCTGCTTCTGGTGCGTTTTTGAGGTTGTCTTGTTGCATCTTCTGCAATAAAAATGTGTGCCCACGTTTTTTCCTCGATTTCTCAAAACGACAATTTCATGTGCTTCCCATTCTGGCCGGGAGCAATATCTCTTGTTCTATTCTGGGTTATCATTACGATTTCTTTTTGTTTCGAAGATAAATGCAGGGGATTGTCGTAAAGTAAGTTTATTGTAATAATGTTTGGAGAAAATTCTCTAAATGGATCTTTTGTTTCAAGTGTAGATGGGGAATTTTTCATGTCATATTCAACATCCCACAACTTGCTTCGAAATAGCCCAGAAACAATGATTTATACTTTATTGCACACTGTGAACATACCGAATTGGTTCTATAGGTTGCACATCAATATCCAAGTTACAGTTAATTAGATAATAGGCCTTAATTGAAAAAGTCGCAGTCATTATATCTTTAAAACTAATTGTCACAGCAAAAAAAGAATTAGATTTTGAAATCAGCAGTAAATCTACATAGGCTCTCCAAATTTGACTGAGGTACTCGCAAAAATAAAAGAGTTTTTGGAAGGTGTAGCATCCCCCCTTAAAACAGAAATATCCCAGGAAAGGTATTCGTTAGATGAGCCATTTTTAAACTGCTTTCTATGGGTAGCTGATGGGGAATCGACAATCATTCATTATGGCGGAAATTTCTTAGTAGCGGAATTCATTATAGAGAGATTCGACTGTGATACTGCTCCAGTTGGTTCTTAAACGCGCATTCTAGCATCCAGAGTCGTCCCTCACCAAACTCAAACACAGCACAAGAATAAAGATGTCAGTAATAAAAATTAGGGTTTCAGCTGTAATTGAACCCAGGAATCCAGCATAGTAAAGCATTCTACCACAGTGTGCTGTTCCAAAGTGCTTTTCATGAGAAAAACCAAACAGAGGAGTCATTTCAGAAGTCTTGCTAGTAGCTTGACAGGTCTATAAATATTTGATGTCCGCCAAAACAAATACATCCTGGTAATGAAGATGTCTATATCTAGTGCACACCATTCAGGCACTTCTGATTGTGTGGAAATGTGTTGAACTACTACAGTCAGACTCAACCCTGCCTTTTTCAGCAGCTTTCTTGCTTGGGTGCCTCAATGATAACAATTTGTTCCATGCCGTAATATCACTGATTGTGCATTTCACTGACAAAGAAATTCAGATTTTCTTAAAAGTGGCAGTTGCTATGGTAATGCACTTTGTTTTGAAGTTGCACCATCCCGCCGCCAGCTGACTGGTGCACACAAGGCATTGTCACTTTACCTGGTCAATTGCATCCCGCAAGGGTCCCCACTTAAAGTACTATATATCTTACAGTGTGGGCAAACATATTCCACCTAATAAACTTTGATCCCTCAGGGTAAGATAGCCGAGTAGCACTATTTTAAGACAAGCCATCTACAAATTCTATCATTGGTGACCAAACTTACATCAGCATACTGAGGACGTTCAAACTTGTACAAAAGTTGGCTTCCTAGTGTCACATTAAAGTATTCCTTGAGTCCATTTGTCACCTCGATGACGATACTCTCCCTGTGTAAAGAGAAATATTGGCTTTTTTACCTTTTTTTGCAGTTTCCTACAGAAGAAATCATAAGTAGAGCAATACAGACTCTAAAGGAACTTTTTCAGTAACGATGCTTCAAGCAACAGTAAACACAAGAAAGTGCCACTGAATGCAACTTCTTTTGAAAAAAAAAATGAGAGAAAGAAATCCAGGTGCGCTCGCTCTGTCAGGACAAAGGGGGGCTAGCGAAGCTTAGAGTGTGTGTGTGTACCAAAAGTACTACTTTTCTTCACTTCTTTTCAACACATTGTGCAATGGTTCCTCCCAACTGTTTCCTTCCTCCATGCTGGGAATTGAACTTTCATCCACGTACTTAGCAGCACAGCACTTTAGTTGCCACAAGCAACAAAAACGGTCATGTGTGTGCGCCCACGCAACAATGAAATTTAACAATGTGAAAGGACAAGTCACCTCACCAAAGATCAGATTGCTATATTAGAAATGGCTGGTCACTGACAAGCCGGTGCAACTTCAAAGGCCTCATTTCTTTGCCCTCATGGATGCCTGGTTACTTGCATAAAACCCAAAAAACTATGAGTTATCAAAGCTTCACTTTGAGTTTTTAAAAAATGTTCCAATAGTACAGCTACATTCCATTTTATTGAAGCCCTCCTCATGCATAGACAAGCTGCATAAATACCAGCACCAGTGTAAAAAGCCCCGAATTATTCAAGCAGCAATGGCCTGAGCTGCAACTAAGCATGAAAAAAAGTTTAAAAACACGCAAGGACGCAGTGCTTGTGCGAGTTAAAAGAAGTATGAAGGTGATATAGAGGTTTCATTTCAATGTGAACATTTTGTGTAATCCACGTGGCATGCATGCCAACCAAACCCACGATAATGCTCTAGCACAATGGTAACCAATGGATGCTTCCTGCACATATGTACTGATGGCACTGCAAATGGATTCTTTTTTGCAACTTGTCTATTTCACTGCGGATCTAGAAACAAGCACCTTGAAGTTCACAAGCTTCATTGAACAGAATAGGGACGTGCCTGTAAGCTGGCTAGCTTCTATTTCAAGATTACAGTATGTATGCATAGTAAAACATCAGTGTTACAATCACAGCTTGTACCAATTTCGGAGTGGTACGAATTTTCCTGTGGTCCCAGTTAAGGCTTATTAACCTGCAATGTAATGAAGTAGGGTTGTTAACTGATTTTTACCCTGCGAAGTTTGATTCGAACATATGCTAGCATGCAGGTACAAAGGGGTGCTGCCCGCGTGGTCGAGGAATGTATGCGGCAATCGCAATGTGAGGGTGTGGGAAACGGAAGTGCGGGCTTGTGCAGTACGTTGTAGTCTCCAAGATCACGAGTGCGAATCTTGGAGGAGTAAATGTGCCTTGCATTTAGATTACAGATTGCGCTAGCATTGTTTTTTTTTTTTCTTTTTCTTTTTTAAATTGTCAATTAGGGCTGCTATGCTCGATGCAACGTCATTGTACTACTGCGTTCACACACGCCTGTCGATGCAAGCCATGACCTTAAATCAGACATCCTACGAAAGGTGAACAAGGACAGAAAGAAAAGTGGATTTGCTTGGTGAAGTAGTTAGGCCTTGAAACATCAATGTGCTTCATTGTTGGGAACGCGCACACCTGCCAGCTTTCCGATTTGCACGGGACACTCTTGACAAACTTTCCGATCGTGCAGGGACGGCCGCCAATCTCCCGAAAAACATCTCCAATACCACCATAAGAAGTAGGGGTATTTTGTGAAAAATCCTTGCGACATGTGCTCATAATACACGGTACGCCATGGATAGTCGCATTCATATTGTTGCTTTCAAGGCCCACTGGCATCTCTCAATTTCAACCTGTTGCAGCAATGTAGTTTTCCGTCACTGAATGAACACTTGCGAAACCACTTTAGCACGTAACCAATGATAACACACCCCACGGTAAAATGTAACGCCTTTGCCGGTCAGTATTTTTTTTCTTTTTAGTTTCAAACGAATAGTAGTGCTACATACAGGCACGTGTTAACCTTTCATCACACACACGGGTGGATACAAGTTTTTGCGAAAAGGAATCAGCTTCTGGGAGAACCTGTAATGTACTCTTATTTGAGCGTACACTGAAAGAAAAATTTTAGGACCCTTAAGCTTTGCCTTCAAGAGTTGAACGCAACAGCGTTATCCTGTACCGAGTGCATACTTCAACCAGTTAATGCATACTTCTTATTGCATGATGTTACTACAAAAGTTTCAATTGTGGATGAATACATTGTAATTGATAAGGATGAAAGTGGCTTGAGTCAGTGAAGTTTTTGCATATGGCTGCATTCTGTGTAATGGGTGGCACACTTTGAACCACAAGCAATTATGCATGTCAAATGTTTTCGAACTTGCTATGCACCACAACGTGTACTTAAGAGAATACGCACACTAACTTGTGTGCCTTTTGTAATGGGTGGCCGGCTTTAAACCACGAAGCCGTTAAAATAATCACATGTTCTGATGCCCAATGGCAATGTATGCTTGTATCATGCAATATTACTGCAATATTATCTCTTGTATTGTGAAGGCCGTATACAGACCTCCCGTGTTTGTGAACAATTTAAGTTATTTTCACTGCATTTTCAAGCAGCGGAAGTTGTTTTCACTGTATTTCCAAGCAGATGCGTATCTGTGATGTAGAACACCTGCTTGCCATACAAAGCGCCAGACTTCAATCCTTACTCGGACCCGATAATTTCTTTCTTGATTTTGCGGTCACGGACAAGATTATTATTTTTTACTCACAAGCAATGATACCGGCACGGACACTGGAATTTTCGCAAAATGAGCTCTTGAACTAAATCTTGTTATATGTAAAGGGAGGGCAGTCCAGGCCACCCCTATGAACTTGGTAGTTATAGCACATGAATGCTTGAAAAATGTGCAGTTATTGATAAACAACTACCTTGTTAAACTCCAGAATAAAAAAATGGACCACGAACAATGCACTCAATCACTCGGTTCACTGAGAATCGATGATGTGCATGAGCTACCCGACAAACATCTATAATTGTTATCACAATATAATAAAACACAGTAATATTGTCAAAAGCAGTGGAAGCATGTGCAAGTAGCCCCAATGCAGCTTTGAAGCTCGTACACAAAGCCGGTTTGTCAGTGCCTGCAAGCACACAGCCCGAACACCGTCCAGTTTCTGCATGACACAAAAGAGTGATCTCTTACTAGTGCCGATGCTTTCACATACCACATCTATTACGAACAGCGAACGTAAACACCCTGTTAGCCGTAAGCAGTGGCTGGAACAATGGAATGATTTGGCGCTTCTCGTCCCCGCGAAGAAATGACATGGAGGTTATTTGCGAGCAAACCGTATTTCAAGCATCCCAGTATTATCTATCTGAACAAGACTGCACACGAAAATGTGTTGGCATTGCAGTTTTTTACAGCCGCCACATGTCGATGCGTATGCTCTGTATGTGTTCGTGCGGAGTGTGAGCACATATGGAGTGGAAATGCGCATGGCGGCCGCTAGATGGCAGCAAATTTTGCATAATGTCTTCACAGGGCAGTCAATAGAGAAACGAGCTACAGGCAAATAGAGTTATACAGGTAAAAAATTGCGCTGAAATAGAAAGGACACCACAAAGAAGGAACACTTAAACAGATCGAGCGCAAACAGATCGAGCGCAAAACAGATTTGCGCTCGATCTGTTTAAGTGTTCCTTCTTTGTGGTGTCCTTTCTATTTCAGCGCAATTTTTTACCTGAATAGAATGAACCAACTAGCCCCTCAAGACGTCCTGATAGAGTTATACACCACAGGTAAGCTAAAGTTAGGTTACTCACTTCTTAGATGAAATTCCTTGTACTGACGTCGCCTGTTTCACATAATCCGTGAGAATACGGTCCACAGTGACATTGCAGGGAAGCTGTACAAGCTGCATGCAAACACAGCAATCGCACATTTAAAATCAGAACACCAATTACAAAAAAAAAAAAAAAAAATCAAAGCATAGTTCATCAATTATTGATATTCATATGTGGGGCTTACTGTCCCAAAACAACCATATGATTATGAGAGACGCCGTAAAGGAGAGCTTCCGAAAATTCCACCACCTGGGGTTCCTTAATGTCCGCCCAAATCTGAGCACACGGGCCTACAGCATTTTTGCCTCTATCGAAAATGGAGCTGCTGCAGCCGGGATTCAATCCCGCGACCTGGTCAGCAGCCGAGTACCTTAGCCACTAGACCACCGTGGCAGGGCACGGCATTATTATTAATGAAGAAAATTTTAAAAGGAACACTAATGACAGAACCTGGTATTCCAGACTAATTCTATTCATGTCACAGGCCTCTATGATATGCAAGTCTATATAGGCTACACAACACCCACATTCCACATTAATTACAGATTCAAATGAGTAATTTTAAGCCATTAATATGAGCAGTGAAATACTATGTCTTTTTAATCTTCTTTATGTGGTTGACACAGAGTATCAGGCTTTCAATGGAAGCTGTCCGATGCAGTAAAGTAATAAGCCAATACCTTTTTTTGTTTTTGTCATAAGGTCCCAGTCGTCTACAAGCCATGGCTTCAGTTCCTCTGGTATCCGCACCTTGATCTCTACTCCGGGCAAGAATGCTTTCTCCTTTAGAGGAAAAATCCTTTAGCACAGCTATCATGAAACTAGACATGCATTATAGTAATTATACACTTATGGCTCCATCAAAAATGTAGGCTAATGCTGCAAAAACTTATCACAATGCAAAACACTACACATCCAAAATTAAATTTCACAATTGAGCTTCTTTCGAGATTTAAGGAGCAGTTCTATCCATGACTGCTTGGACTTGAATGGCTAGGTGACGTCGAAGTTTTCCCACACCTCAAAGTTTAAAGAGAGTGTGGTTAGAATATCTCACCGACTCAACATGGGTGTCCAGACGCCTTCGTTTCTTTCTCCATCTTTCGCCACCAGACTCTGAAGCCTGACTAGAAGTTGGCTGGTAAGAAGCAGCTGCCGCCGTCGCTGCAGCACCTGTTCACATGACAAGTGAAGCACTTTGACGTGGAAACTGAAGCCTCCTCATGCGCAGATTAAGCCAAAATGCTACCATAGCAAACAACTCGTAAAAAATAACAAAAACTGTCATCTACCCATTTGTAGCACATACAAAAAAAAATGCACACGGATTTCTCAGCGAATGGGTTAATCAATAATGAAAGATTGACAAAATCAGGAAGTTTGCACTAAGCCGCGCAAAGCCTGGCTGAGCGAAGCATGGGTGCAGCTTGTACTTCCAGTCATCGTCTCATCTAGCTTCGAGATGCGAGTCATCTGCCTTTAGAGTTGCAGTATTTTAAGGTATCCCATGGCTGTCTCTGCATAATCGGGCACAGCCAGGCAATGCATTGTAGAGTGGAGTTGTACACGTCTGCATCAATGGCCGTGGCTGGCTAACGTGCATGTGCGGCTTGGTCAGACGGTGCAGTATCTGGTCTCAATGCTTGCTTCCTCTTTCTATCTAGTTTTCTCTCTTCATGTCCACGGCTTTGAACTGCTATGGGACGCTATGCAAGTTGGGCTCCATCACAAACACAACTTTGCATGGCGTCACTCGAGCTACGCTCTGCATCCCATGGCTTCAGATTGCCATAAGACGCCATGCAGCAGTCTCCTATCCACAGAGCACTGTGCTGTGCTCAGTCGTTGCTAGCAACAAAGTGACAGTTTTGTTTTTTTTTCAGCACCACTGCCATCGTTATCGTTCGACAGTTGGTAGGGCACGTGCTAAGCTCGGAAGTTGCTAGCCAATGGCGCAGCACTTGTTTAGCAACACCACTGCCATCTTGTAATTTGATTTACAGCTTTGCTGTTACAACTCATCCTGGTTTAAATTTAGCCCCCTAGGCCAACACATTACTAAGACGCTTGCCTCACCACCTGAGATAACAAGGCAAGCATATCACAGCGTGATGGCATATTTACAACTTTCAGCACATGAACATGAAACATCAAAAGAACAGCTCTGCAGTGGCCTGCTAGGCCAAGAAACATTTATGAAAAAGTTCCTTTTAACCTCCACGAACCTCCTTTCCACGTGATGCTTTCTCATAACTGATTTTTCGAACAAGGCATTCTACGAGTAGAATAATTAAGTTACAAATATCCACGGTGTGTGGAGGAAATTTCACGCAATATAAAAAAAAATTTGCAAAGTGAATATCCAACGTATAATGCTTACAATATGACATGTGACATCATAACTTCAAATGGAACAAGTGGTATGTGGAACCGTTTGAGACAACCATGTTGTATTGCTGCGAAGCTAGCCACAAAAAGTGATGTAGACACTGATATAAGTGTATGAGGCAATAGTGTTCCTGACACAAGTAAACACAGGTATAGGTGTGCACCCGACTATAGGTGCTACTTAAACCTAAATTAGTGTTTCTATTCTATGAGAACTGTGCAAAGCAGACAAGAGAGCCTTAACACATAACCTTTCTGTTTCTGGGGCTTTTCTAGGGATGGAGTTTTACTGCGTTCCTTCTTTACCTCTTTTTTTGGTTTAGTAGCTTTGTTCTTTTTCCCCTTTCTGGAAAGCAATGCAGAACATTGGTAAACATGAACCTTCATTTTTCTTTTCTTTTTGGCAGTCCTCGTTGTTATTCACTGTCGACGAGATCTGAAAGTTTTATCTGTATTGAAGCCATCATACCTCCATGAGTTGTGAAGTGTAGCTGTCTTGAAAGTTTAGCTAAGCAAAGTATGCACATAATAAAAACTACACAAAACTGTTTAGCTCGTTGGAGGGTACACCTTACTAACAAAGTTATGTCGAAGGGTATAGGTTGCATAAGAACGACACATCATCTTCATTCCATTGTCATGTGTCACTCAGATACTTTGCCACGTGTGCTAAATTAAACTCTTGCATCCACTACTTTCAGGTCTTGGAAAATGTTTTGCAGATCGGTGTTAGCAGCAAGGTGTCACTCATCCTCGTCTTGTCATCCTCGCTAATAACACTGATCTGTAAAAAAATTTCCAGCTCCTGAAAGTAGTGGACGCACTAGTTTTAGTTAGCACTCATGTCAATTTCTGAGTCAGCAGAGCAATTAATTGGGCTAATTGATTTCTTGTTGCACTCCGAATGACGAGACTAGGGTAAAAAAGCGAATGGAAAATAGGTGGTGCGCAAACTCACAACTGGTTTATTCACATCTTGCAAAGTGTTAAATATAGGTTACCAATCTGATATTTTTTTTTTCGAACTTAAGGACGACGGGACCGTCAAGTCAAGTTTATTTCCAACAACATCAAGTCGAAGGTCCTTAGGCGAAAAGATGTCAGAGACATCTTGAGAGAGCCCAAGAACCCTTCAAGAGCAGCAGGCATTTTACAAAAATATCGCGTAATTCACTGTACATGCATAGGCAAAATAAAAGCTTAGTTCTTTTTCCTTTTAGTGAACAAAATAAACACACAATTTCACATGGGTCACAAATCTTGTACACACATGTGCAAAAACAACTATTTTTATACAAAAGAAGAACACGTAAAAAAACATGATAACATAAGATAGCTAGTGCTATTTGAGCAGTTTCTATATCTGTAGCAACATACTTCGCACATGTATCTTGAATTTACGTTCAGGCAGTTCGAAGTCAATACCAGTTAAAAATTTGTTCAATACTGTTGGTATCTGGTGGTGTAGAAGGCATTCTCTGTAACATGTGCGAGAAAAGGGAACTGGTCTTAGTTGATTTCGGAGAGTGTATCAGCATGAGCTGTCAACTGAATGCCGATAAAGTTTGTTTTTCTGAGTATAAAGTATTAGTTTATATGCGTAAAGGTAACATGCTCTAATAAGATCATGATTTATAAAGAGCTGATGAGTACGTAGTTCGCTAGGAAGCCCATAAAAATTTTCGAATATTCTAAGAACTTTTTTCTGTAACATCTCTAGTTTGTTGAGGTTCTGAGCAGACGTTTTTGCCCATACTAGGGCGCAGTAAGATAATCGAGAATAGAAATGGAAATATGGTGGATGGGGTCATCAGAAAAGACTAAATAAAGGTAAACAAAGATATTGCACGCATATTGCATATGCCACCATAAGCACATACAAACTTTTCGCATATGTCACTTTCTACAAATTTTATTTCTGCCAGTTTTAAGTGTAATAAGAGTGTACTGATACACTCCTGTTTTGCAGCTATGATAAAAAGGGCTTTTCTTTATCTCCCTAACGTCTTCACCACCACCATGGGCTAACTATGTGGTGACCAAGAAATTGTGGAAAATTTCAAGAATGTGACATACACAATGGCATTTGCCATATGCGTGAATTATCTTTGTTTACATTTAGTCTTTTAATGATGTCCTACCCTCCACCTGATCCATCCTATCTGACACTTTGCAAGATGTGAATAAACCACTTGTGGGTTCGCGCACCACCTGTCCTGTAGTCCCTTTCTCATCCTCATCTGCAGCACAACACTAAATCATGAAGCAGCGAGGTGTATGCAAAAATTTCAAATTCTGCTTTTTGTTGTAAGCAATCTGTTGGCTGCCACAGCTTTGTTTCTACAGAGATGAGTGACACAGATGCTACATTTTCGTGAAGAAATTAACATGTTCTTATTTCTAATACAGCACTTGTGTCATATTAGAGAGAGCGTGCTCACATATGGAACAAGGGGCCTGAGCAATTAGTTACTGTAGGTACACAACAGTTTAAGTAAACACAGGCCTCCTAATTGCACAGCAGCGCCACGCTCGACTACTGCTAGGCGCGGTTCATTTAGCGTCGCTTGTTCACGAAATGCACCGCGGATGGCACCAAATTCTCACAAAAAAAAACCACAACTACAAAAAAAATTTGCAGTCAAATTTAGCGGCAGTTTGGCAACACTGACCCTCCCCAATCTGGCAACCACTTATGCAACGCCAAAAGGAACCTTGCCTTGAAGCCACCTACGCCTAAGTGCTGCGTCGTCTGCTCAGCTACTCGCGCGGCTGCACCAAGCCGGCACCGTCAGCGTAGGAGGTGCAAGAAAATCGTGAACCAGTGCTACCCCTTTTCTGTACCTTTCTAAACGAATGGCAGGGTTCAGAGGCCGTCAATGCTGCACCATGAAACGAATGGCAAGGTGCAGCATCCCATGAACTGGTTCCAAGGTGCAGGCGAATCGAACGGACCTTATAAGAATAGAGACGAGACCTTCGAACTTAGACAATGTCCACAATGTTGGCAGCAAAAAAATTGATGCACAATGTTGCCCACTAAAGAGTAGCCCTCGTTTTGTGCATGCGCAAAAAATCTAAGGACGTTGCGTCGTGTTGCTTAGGTACAACCAACGCCTCCTAGATTTCTTGTGCCTGCCGGATGAGCGCGAAACGCCGGTCATCTATGGCGGCGCTGCCTACGTAGGGGTAACGGTTTTGTACTCGGCCTTTAAGATTGGCAATTTCGGCGTTTGCTATTAATTTCAGAGGATGCCTTGTATTTAAAAAGTTGCTAGTTGCTTGTTGAATGACGGCGTCACTTACCTAGGGTTTATTATGATTATGTTTACGCCTTTTTAGAACTTTTTAACCTTATTTTTGTTGCATAGAAGCTCCAAAAACGTAAAAACTTATTTGAAGACACCCCTATTTGAGTGGCGCCATTACTGTAGTTCTGACGACCGCCGCTTCCCAAGCGACCACTGATAATCCGGCAGGCACGGGAAATCTAGGCGGCGTTGGTACAACCGAGAAAGACTACTATATTTCGTGCATTTGTCTCTAGATGTGTAGGCGCTGGCGTGTTGCTGTCTCAAGCTCGCGCCCTGCTGTTCTCTGGCCTTGCTCAAGCGAAGTTTTTCTTACACCGTGCCTTGTCTCCGCGAATCGTACAGCTCTCTAGTAGACAACGTAGCACGCAAATCACTGCCTCGCAGCCATTTTGTCAATACCGGGGTTACTGTACTACTTGCTCGATCGACAGACGTAGCGAGCTGCAGTGCGATGCCTTGCCACAAAAGGTAAACAGTAAATTGTTTAGTTGTCCTCTGCACGGTTGATCGCTATCCACTATGTAATGGCCAGAAATACCTTTCATATCAGACAGCGTGACATAATAAAGAGCTATGCTGCCGGGATTTGATAACACTTTCCCAGAGGCTTCCAATGTAGATAAACATTAAATTGCTGAATTCCTTGGCACCTTGAAACCTGTTATAGCATCCTGAAAAATTGTGTAACTTGCTCCGAGCCATCCTCTAATCACGCTGATATGCGAGAATGGCGAAATCAAACTGTGTTTGGCATCGGCCATTTAGCATTGGAGAATAACGCTGGTGTAATTGTAATAGCCCCAAATGATTAGGTTGAAATATACATACGCACGCTTTTGTGGAACTGTACTGCGCTTAGTTCCATAGAAAACTAAAATCATTGCTTCAAGCACGTTGAACAAACACCTTTGTTCTCCGTAGCGCACGTACAAAGGCAGTGAAACCGGAATTGTGCATTTCAGTTCAGTAAATTTGTATTCGTATTTACTGTGTGCTTCTCCGCAGTGCACGTGCACGGCTATGAAGCCGAACGTGTGAATGCCAGTCAAGTCATTTTTCAATTAACTTTACCTCATGCTTCTCCGCAGCGCACGTGCATAGCAGTGAAACCGAACTTGTTAATGCATATCATTGTTTGCTTTTCTTGCAGGCATAGAAGTGAGCATTCCTAGTTAAAAACAGTGCGTATTTTCCTTTACGTTGATGGAACGACTTAAATTTTTCTTGAATTATGTGGAGGCATTTGTCATTGACTTGCCACCAAAATCCTAAACTGTCATATTACGGAAGAACACGTCATCTTTAGGTGCTCTCTACACACTGCTGTACCAGGAAATCGACATGGAGGCTGCCCCCCATGCGAATACATACTGGGTGACAGAAGCACCATGGGATGAATCTGTAAGCTACTATTCAGTCGAGCTGACATCCTCAAAGCCCAGAGATTGGGATCACGCATTGACCCAAATTTACTGACACACTCACTACTACACTCCACTGTGTACCGAGACAAGTACCCCTGGAGCGTAGTGGTGCCAACACTTACACATATTGTGTACGAGTGTACTTCATATCCCAGTGAAGTGAACTTAATATAGACCAACACAATACCAGATCGGTCATTAGAATCGCAACTTTTTGAGAAGGCCTTGAAGAGCCTAGTGGTTGCCTTGAACTAGGCCCCATTAAGCGGGTAGTCGATGAAGCCCTAACAGCCCTTCGCTCTGAAGAACGCTTCAGCTATATAAATGTTCCCTCTATTCTTGCTACAGCCCAACATGTGCAAGCTTGTTTGGACAACTTGCTTTGCTAATATCTGTACCTTCTGCCTGTGTGGTGCAATGGCTTCTCAACTTTGCGGGTGGTGGTGTACCTTCTTAAGCAGGCTGTCTGCAACTGAAATGGAGAATAGCTTGAGATGGCCAGCACCAGTCAGCCTTTCAGCTTGACGCTGTGGGCAAGGTTTGCCCACAGTTTGCCCAGAGTGCCTGAGGCACGATGTGGCTATAGCTCGTTTAACAAGGCGGACTTCAAAGGCAGAAGTGGTATGTTTGTGCATGGTTCATTGCACCAGCAGAGGCTCACACC